TTCCAACCCAAACCATTCAATGATTCTATAAACCAGGTACACAAAACCACTAGTTACCTCTTGTAATCTTGCCCTCACTGAACAGGCACTCAACAGTAAACAACCAAATTAATTACTGTAAACTGATGAGGGTATTTCACCTTATGGAATCCATCTTAAGGCTGTCAGCTGCATCTAGCACTTCTAAGGACTTCTCTGAATGGTTTATGAGCAATTTATTAACACCTGAGGATTATGAGATTAAATAGAACAGTGCAATCAAGCAGCTGTGTCACTACCTAACTCTGAAATACAACACACATAATTTGATGCCTTTAATACTGAAGTGATGACACCTCTATTCAGACCCATTTCCATATAATGCTTTCCACTCCTTAGAACTTTGGTAAGCTTAAACTTTTGAATTTGAAATGGAAACATTTTTTCTCTATATAAACCATATTTGCAACCTGATGTTAAACTTCCGTAACAACATAAGAATGCTGTTCTTTTACCTGCAGAATTTTAGAAAAAAAAGGTAGGAAAATCATGCCATGCATAAATATAGTAAGTTGCTGATAGACCTACCCACAAATAATGATTCACAGTTTGGTCTATCAGGATATGTCTGTATTTGGAGAAACACGGAAGAGATGCTACAAAGCCTCAAGGAAGATTTACACAGTAACTCCACCTAAATCATTACAGCCTGCTCCCAGAAACATAATTATTTCCTATAAGTATCATACCGATGTGAAAAGATAACATGACAAATGTGCCTCACAACCTTTATAACTAGTTGCACAATGTGATTAAAAAATTACAGAAATCAACAGGAGTGGCCTGTAATACAATATGCTTAACGTACTTCACTTGGGGGACCTCAAAACCAGTGTACTTTCAAGAGCTAAGAAATAGAGAGATTTTATTATAAGTTTTGGACAGTCTACAATAGGTTATTTTAGTATATTACAAATTTGAGAGTGAAGTGATTATACTGATTAAAGAATGAATTCTCAAAGAATCTTTCAAGATAAATGTTTCTAATCTTGAGACTTCATGAAAATTAAAAAGGGCCAGGGAACTACTGCAATTTACATAAGTGAAGCCCAATTAAAAAAAAAAAAAAAAGTAGTATTTTGAGAAAGAAGAAAAAAAATCAGGCATTTTAAAATGCCTAATTAATCTCAGAAATAACCCAAATGAAAGTAAAACCAAACACATATAAGATGGTGCCTGAGACACAAGGTGGTACTTTTCCGTTTTTTACCCCAACAAACTTAAGGAATTGCATCACTATGGTAAGTGACTGTAGTAAGGGTTCACATGACCCATGAACTTGATAAAGTGGAAGGAAAAAAGAAAAGCCTGGGAAAGGCCTCCTGAGTCTAGAAAAAAATTCTTGATTGTGCTATTTTTATTGTCAGAAGACATTTATAAAGTCATTTTACTAGTTAACACCCATCTGCACCAAAATCTCTTCCAATAACAGAATAAATCCATTTATTTACAAACATAAATATCTGACTCTTAAATACTAGTACAGGATAAAAATCTTCTATTTACATTTGAAATAGGTAGCTTCTGACCTCCTAATCATGCCAAATTGCCCTTTTCTGTTTTGAAGCATCTCTTAGTTATCAACATGATGATTATAGTAATTATTCATAGTTGCTCTTTAAGAGACAGAGTCATAGCTGCACTTCACAACTCTCAAATGAACAGTATCATCAATAGTAACTTAATCATAGTATCTTTTCAAGTCTCACTTCCTTAAAAGCAGTATTACACCTATAGAGGCTTACCTTGACTTCCTATATAGATTTCATTAATTCCCCAACTGGAAAAATCAGAAACACCATTCATCCTTACTATCTGCATGATGCACAGGAATTACTTAGCCCTAGTTTTGACTGTTATTTTGTGCTAAGCATTAAATATTGAAGAAAGTCATAAAAGCCAATACAACTGACAGTTGCTTAAAGATACCTAAACTCTCTGCTAATATTTACTTATTTTAGAGGAACTGCTGAAGAAGCCTTTATTCTATGTGTTCTCTATGAAGGTATAAACTTGAGTCATTAGCAGCAGTTAAGACTCATTTTCACAGCTAAAATTATCTCATCAATTAATAATTTGCACCCTTTCCTTGTGTGTGCTCTATATACAGTTTTATCTATTTTATACAGTAAATTTTAGAAGCTCCTTATTTGCTTCTATTCCTCTTTTAACATTTCCTGTACATACTTCTAGACAACTTGGATTTTAAAACTCTCACTGCTGACTCAAAGATCCATGGATTAAACTGAAACAGCTGGTAAAACTACCGGTCTGGTTTTGGTCCCACATCTCATGAAAGCTTCCGCTCCTGCTAGGATGGCTTAAGCACTCTTCCAGGCATGTTAAGAGAAATCAAAATTAGTGCTGTTTTGCCTTAATATTTGGGATTGGAACAGCCTTCTTGGACCAATATCCTGAGCCATCTCAATTTAATCAAAAGCTGCTTATCAATTTAGTGTCTATCTTCTCTCTTAATCTAATTCCTGTACAAACTGCATTTAGCCATCACCAGAATTTACGTTATTCACAAATCATCAGGGAGGAGCTCTAAGCCTAAAACCAATATTTGAATCTCCTTACCTTCATTTTTGTCAGCATCCAACAAATTCTGAAACTCTGTATGAAATATCTCCAGGTGTTTTTCAATAAGTACCTGCTCACATTTTCGTGCTAACTCATCTTGTGTGCTCTCATGGAGATATACCTGAACTCTACGTTGTTCCTCAAGAAGGCGAGCCTCAGCCTGCGGAAAAGAGAGAGAAAAATGAAACCAGTATGGAACGCAGAGCAGAAATCCAACAGCAGAGAACAGATGATTATCTAGTGAATTAATCTAGAAAACAAACAAATCAAACCTCTCACTAATGCAGTGTTACGGTCTACCTACTCAAGCAGTGATTCTTCTGAGAATCATAATGTGACCTCCCTCCCATACTATATACATGAGGAATCAATGTTTATGTTGATGATGATAATATACACTGTTTAAATGGGGGCAGGGGGGGAAAAAAAAAAATCACAGCAAGATTGTTTTCCCATTGCTTCTGAGTAAGAAGTTTGCAGATGAAATCTGCTGTCAAAAAAAGAGAAAGCTGCTGACATGAGATTCTGGCAAGTTTAGTATCAGTAAGCTCTTCAGCTAGAGAGGTAGTCTTGTATAAAACAAACATCAACATATTTTATGCTGCCACAAATCTACAATTTGCCAGGTACATGTATGCCCATGACAAATTCATTTGAATGTTCTCATCTATATTCTTACACAGAAAAGCTTCCCAATAATGTACAATCATTTAAATTATACTATTATTTAATTTGGCATATGAAATACTACATATGCATATCTTCCGGGCAAACCAAAATTCTAAATGTCACTTGAAAAATACTACTTACAACAAAATGTAAAACTGAAGTTGTTTATATAAAAATTACCTTTATTTCTTTCCAGAAGTTTCAAAGATTTGTTTTAAACCATCTGTGATTGCAGTACATTACTAGGGATAATGTGCATATATCCCCTTATCAGTCCAAATTATTTAAATAAATGTCACCAAGAAAAGGAAATTAAATTAATGCATTTTCCTAGTATTTTATAATATTGACTAAGCATGAAAGATCATATTATGGACAACAACAACAAAGAACAATTTTATTGCAAGTACACTGCATCATACACGAGACAGCTTTAGATAATCTCTGCTACTGCAGCTTCACTCATTTCTGTAATAAATTTGCACTTAGCTCTTGCGAAATGGTCCTGGATTAGCGTCTCCCAGAGTTAAACCAGTACAGGTTAAAATATGGGAAACAAAAATCAACAGTTTGGGAACTGATATAAGCTCATGCTTCAGAGTACTGCCAGTTTCTTCCCAGTAAGGAATAACTTCCTTAATAACAGCAAATAGCAGCAAATTATTAGATCTTTCTGATGAACACTGGAAACTGGAATCAGACTTGTAGGACTACTTATCTAATGTTTAACCACTTCTGTATTTCCATCGTTCAGTAAATTCTGCTACTTCTAATGCTGCTTTTTAAAATATCTTTAGACCTTCACTTTTAATGTTAACAGTCAATTCTCACTTTCGGTTCCTTTATGAAAAGAAAGATTCACACAGACTCCAAATTTGCTTACACTCTCTTAGTTTTTCTGTTCTTATAATTCTATTTTCCTTTTAAAATCACATTTCATAAACAAGGGAAAAATAATTAGTTCACATAACAGTATCTTTGGTTGTTTTAACTATAAAGATCAAAAGTTCAGTTTGAGACTTTACTTCAAGGGACAATGTTAAGAAATACCGACCTTTTTCCCTAC